TTTTACGTATTTAATCCATACCAATGCACTACAGGAAACTTTCATTAAACTGAGCCATTATTGCCCAGACAATAAATGGTTTGCAAATGTACAATAACTTGTGTTTCTAAATAATGCAGAAGTGGCAAAACATTATTCCTAATCTCCATCTGGCATTAATCTTCAATTAATTTTTCATTGCCTTCATAAATTTTTATTCCATGAGTCTAAAAAACACCAGTTTTCCTCTCAGACAATATTGTTGTTTATCTGGAAATCTAATGTTCATTTTTTTCAGTTAGAGTTATGTAATTTCTGGGACAAAAATGGCTGTGTATTATTTTCCTAGAAACCAGGCACCTGCCTGAATGAGCAAAGTTTAAAAGTCTAGTCACAAGGAGCTATTGGCCCATATCCAGTCTACTTCAAAAAGTTTCCATTTATACTACCACCTTAAAAATTCCTCAAGCATAAAACATGTTTATAAAGTTACAAATTTGAATGTAACTAAAGATATATAGACATTTTATTATTACACTTTCATGTACTGCTTGATAAATTATGTACCAGTTAAAAACACTAAATTATCTCAAGATGCATTCAGTATCTGTAGCGCAGTTAAAAACACACATGAAAAAAATACATATTCTATATTCTGTGGAAAATAACAGTTTTGATAATGACCACTGTTAAAAATCTCCAATTCTAACTGATATCCTTTTTAAAAAAGGAAATAGGTATAATTTTAAGGTGGTGGATAACCCAAAGGATTTAACACCATTTTTTAATTATAGTAATTTACACTGCGATGTAGGGTTTTTATCATGGATGGGTGTTGGACTTTGTCAGATGCTTTTTCTGCATCTATTGAGATGATCATGTGATTTTTGTCCTTGATTCTGTTAATGTGATATATTAACATTTATTGAGTTGCATATATTGAACCATCCTTGCATCGCTGGTATGAAGCCTACTAGGTCATTATATATAATCTTCTTGATGATTTGCTGCATTCTGGTTGCCAGTATCTTATTGAGGATTTTTGCATCTATATTCGGTAAGGAGATTGGCCTGTAGTTCTCTTTTTTGGTTGGCTCCTTCTGGTTTTGGTTTCAGGATACAGCTTGCTTCCGGGAATGACTTTGAGTGTTGCTTCCCTTTCAATTTCATTAAAGTGTTTGAGTAGTAGTGGCCTTATGTCGTCTCTAAATTTCTTGTAGAATTCAACAGTGAACCCATCAGGACCTGAGTTTTTCTTTGTTGATAGTTTTAAAATTACTTCTATTTTGTTGACTGATATTGGGTTATTTAGAATTTTTATATCTCCCTGATTCAGCTTTGGTAATTCATATGAATCGATGAATCTGTCCATTTCTTCCGTTTTCCACTTTATTAGAGTACAGGTTCTCAAAGTAGGTATTGATGATGCTTTGGATTTCTGCTGGATCTGTTGTGACTACACCTTTTTCACTCCTAATTGCATGGCTTTGAGTCTTTTATTTCCTTATTTTAAATAAAATTGGCTAAGATTTTTTTTTTTTTTTGGTTTTGTTTTGGCTTTTTTGTTTGTTTGTTTTGAGACAGGGTCTCACTATGTAGTTGAGGCTGGCCTTGAACTCACTATGTAGTCCCTGCTGGCCTGCTGTTCACAGTGATCCTCCTGCCTTAGCCTCCCAAGTGCTGAGATTATAGGCATGCATCAGTGCACTACACTTGACTTTGTCTATTTTACTTAATCTTTTGAGGAACTAACTCTTTAATTCATTGATTCTTTCTCTTGTTTTCTTAGTTCCATTTGCATTGATTTCTGTTCTGATCTTCATCCCTCATATGTGCTTTAGGTTGAACTTCCTCTTGTTTTTCTAGAAGATTGAAGTTCAACATTAGGTTATTTATTTGAGCTTGCTTTGTTTTTCTGATGTGGGAATGCACCGCTATAAATTTTTCTTGTAGGACTTCTTTCATTGCATCCCATACGTTCCAGTATGTTGTATTAGCATTATCATTTAATTGTTGAAACTGTCAAATTTCTTCTTTAATTTCATCCATGACCCATTGGTTATTCAGGAGGGTGTTACTTAATTTCCATGTGTTTATGCAGTGTTTGTGGTTTCTTTTGCCATTGATTTCCAGTTTTATTGCACTATGATACCATGCATGGGATAATTTCAGTTTTTTTGCATTTACTTAAACATGTTCTCTGGGCTAGTATGTGGTCTGTTTTGGAGGAAGTCACATGTGCAGCTGAGAAGAATGTGTTCTTTTGTGAATTGGAACACTGTAAATACCTACCTACCTACTACGTCCATTTGTTCATAGATTTGGTTCAGTACTGATATTTCTTTGTTGATTTTTTTGTCTAGTTGATCTGTTTGTGGCAGTGGGGTATTATAGTTCCCCATTACAGTTCTATTAGTGTTTATTTGATTTTTCATGTCCATTAATGTTTGTTTTATATAGTTGGGTGTGCTGCTGTTTGGTGCATATATATTTATGATTGTTATCACTTCCTCTTGGATTGTTCCCTTGACAAGTATGTAGTGACCTTCTTTGTCTCTTCTGATCAGTCTTGGCTTAAAATGTTCATTGTCTGCAAATAGAATAGCTACCTCTGGTTTTCCCTGGGTTCCTGTCACATGGAGTATTGTTTCCCATCCTTTGACTTTCAGTGTATGAATTTATTTTTGAGTTTAATATGTTTCTTGTATGCAGCATACTGTTGGATCTTGCTTCTTGGTCCATTCTCCCGGTCTCTTTTGCCCAGTGAATTGAGACCATTTACATTGATGATTACAACTGATATGTACTGACTTATTTTTTACTTGTTGATTCCCTTTCTTTGCCTTGGTACCTTACCTAGTGGATTCATTCTGTTGGGATTCATGGAATTGTTGTCTTTGTCTAGAATATCCTTCAGATCTTTTTGAAGTGCTCTTTTGGTGGTCATGAATTTCTTCAGGTGTTCTCTATCATGGAAGTATTTTATTTCTCCATTAATTTTGAAAGATAATTTTGGAGGATGCATCAATCAGGGTTGGAAGTTGTTCTTTTAGGGCTTGATATACTTCACTCCAAGCTCTGCTTGACTTCAGGGTTTGTGTTGAGAAGTCTGCTGTGATTCTGATGGGCTTTTCTTTATAGGTTATTTGTTTCTTTTCTCTAAAAGATTTTAATATTCTGTTCTTGTGTTGAATTTTCTGGAATCTTGAGTATTATATGCTTGATGTAGTTTTTTCCTGATCGTGGCTAATCAGAGTTCTATATGCCTCACTTCTGTCAGATTCCTTTTCCTTGCTTAGGAACTTTTCTGCCATTACTTCTGTGAATGGGTTTTTTATGTCCTTTGTGCTGTGGTATGATTTTTCATTGATTATCAATCTTGTTATTCTTCTTTGTATCATCTAGCAGCTATTGGATTGATTTTTTTATAATCACTATTTTTAAGAAGTGTTTCATTTGATGATTGCTAACTGCAAACCTGTCTTCTAGGTCTGATATTCTGTCCTCACATTGATCGATTCTGCTGGGTATACTTTCAATAGAAATTTTAATTTCCTAGAAGTCTGTTTGAATCTGTTTCATGGAATACAGTTCTTTCCTATGTTGGGCATTCATGGTTTCCATCACTTTCTTAAGTTCCTATATACTTTTTTTCTGTATCTACTGTAGATTCGCTAATTATGTCCTTCATTATGGTCATTATCTCTTTGGTTACCTGTGAAATTATTTCTGATTAGGTTTTTTCTACAGCTTCATTTATCTACTTTGTTACTTTCACTACTACCATTTCAGAAAAGTCAGCTGGATGGCTTTCGATTTCTTCTACCTCAGAGTCCCTTAGAGTTGCCATGAGTGAGCTGGAGGTCTGGGGCTGCAACTTGCTTCTGTATCTTTTTTTTTTCCTATTTTTAAAAATTTATTTTCCACATTAATGGTTGTAAATTGCTTATGGCAGCTTTGTTACTAGTATCAAGACCTCCTTAGGATGTAACTACTTTTCAGAGATGTCTTCTAGATGTTCTGGCTTTGGCTTTTGAGTCTGTCCCACGATCCTGCCCCTTCAATTTCTTAGAGATGAGAACTGTTGCCTATTTGGCCTCACACCCAGTTCTTTGGTGCTGGACTATGATATTGTTTATGACCCCTAGACATTCTTGGTGTTAGTATATAGAACAACTGATCACAACAACTACTTGGGTGAAGTAGCAAAATCAGGAATAACAGCATCAGGTACAGTCTAGAAAATGTGGTAAGTTAATTTACCTCTTTAAATCATGCTTACAAGATTTTATAGTTATATAAAAAAATCTAAAACAACCCAGAAAATTGTATACAGCAAATATCCTCTCAGTAGAGCAATTTTACCCTCAGGGGAGAAAATGTAAAAGACTGAAGAGGAAAAAAAATAAAAAAATAATAGAAGAGAAAGAGATTAGAAAGAAGCAAGGCTGAAGAACAAAGGCAGAGTATCCAAGCTTTGGGAAACTGGTGAAGACAGGAGAGAAAAAAAGAAGGAAAAGACAAAAACAAGAACTAAATATAACCGAAATACTAAAAACAATATTCACACTCATGAAAAAACACATAATCAAGGGGAAAAAAGATTTCTTTGTGATTTTAAGTCTGTGCTTATCTTCTAGGGTCTACAGTTTTGTGGTAGTGTCCAATTCAGGGTGTGTCTCTGCTGTCTTTCCTAGAGAAAGGAGACAGACAGAGCCCTTATCTGACCTGGATGATCCCAGCAAGCCTGCAATAGGATTTGGGTGGGATGCCAATTCTGTTGCCTTTAGCTCCACAGAAGTTCAAGCTGATCCTGACCTGATTGTGGGGTTAGGGCCTGAGTTGTTCAGCCTGAGTTCTGAGTTCAATCAGCCCCTCCCTAAAACAGCATCTAGCCAAACTTCCTCTCCAGGAGACATTGGACTGAACTCACTCACCAGCCATTGTAGTTCACAGCATCCATTGCTCCCTTCGACTGGTGCTTTTTTCCATGGAGTACTCTGGAGTCATTGTGTGTGGAAGCCTTTGGTGTCACCTGCCTTCACTGTGTCTGTAGGTATGAGCCTCCTCTCTCATGCCAGGAGTCAAAGAGAAAGTGCAATTTTCCACCTCCTTTTTCTTCATTGAAGTCTGTCTCTTCACTTTCCCTGTGGGCTCCAATTCTTTCAGATACTTCCTGGGTCCCAGGGATGCACCTCCCTCCTCCTTTTCTTCAACAAGTTGTTATATTCCAATGTCTGCATTCTGAATCTGAGAGAGACTGACCTGCTGTTGCTTACTGCTCCACCATCTTCCTGGAAGTTCTGTCAAATATTTTTTTGTAGTTAACATTTTTCCTTAAAGTAGTAATATCAAAGGGTGATGATAGGCATTTCTGGTCTTTTGATAGAAATTTATTTTAGAAAATGAATATTATCATTATAAATAAATGTTCCTACAGCTGATGATCATTCAGTTTGTACTGTATACTGTGTACAAAAAATAGGTCTGTACCTGGGCAAATGATGTAAAAGAGGCCATTTGGCCATTTCTAACCAGTAGTTAAATTCATGAGTATTTTTTATTTTTCCATGTTCTAATGTTATTCTTTTCTTGGGTCTTAAAACCAGTTTTAGCTGCCATATTGTCATCAAGTTGTTTTAAATAGTCCACTGATAACAAATTCATTTATTAAGACAGAACAGAGAAAACGAAAAATTTCTCCTTATAATTTAGCCTGCAAAATGATGTCATTTTATTGTTACATGATTATGACAGTATTTATTATGGAATGTCTCGTAAAGGAAAATGCAGACAGTTCGATCCCCAGTACCAAAAAAAAAGGAAAATGCTGACTTATGACAGGGAAGGCAAGTAATCGAGGCTATTACTATCTTATAAAACATCTTTTAGTACTCATGATAATGGCTAGTATTTATTGAGTGTTTACTGTGTTTCAAGCATTGTTAATGTACTTGGTTCTCACACAGAGTTCTTTAGGACTACTGCCTGATGAACTTTTAAGATCTTTTTTTAAAATAGTTATGGCAGCTAAAGTTCAGAGAGATTGGATAATCAACATAAGGCCATACTTCACAAGAACCTAGGCATTCCAGCTTGAAAGCTTATGCTTTTAGCAATTACTATTTTTATTATTTCATTACAGTGAAATAAAGTAGTATTATTAATAGAGGACTTACTGTATAGTAGGTACTCTGAAGTACCCAGTGTCACAAAGATGTTAAGTGGTGATTCAGTGTTATTAACTGAAGCTGGTGTCGGAGCCAGAGTCATTTAAAGGTCATGTGGTCTGATTTTAGTGCTTCAACTCTGAATGTGTGGCAAATACACCATTACTGTTGGGTTTTGTTGTTGTTGTTGTTGTTGTTTGGTGCTTCAGATACGTTTTTATTCATTATTTTTTCAAAAACTATTATAGCAAAAACTTCTTATAGTATATTTCTAAAATTTTATAACCCATCAAGTCTATAAAAATTTATTTTTTAAAAAACAGAATTTTTTTTGAATAAACTATCTCACCAGAAAAAGTTTTCTTTTAATTTTTGTAATTAAAAACTTTTTAAATGAATATTTTCAAATGTATATAAAAGAACAGTATGATCATTACTACATATTCACAACCCAGTTTTAACATTTATCGGCAAATAAACAATCTTAACTTGTATTGCCACCTACCTTTTCTTACAACCCAAGCATATACTTGATTATATACTTCAGTTTTATACATCAAATTTGATGTCATACTGTTTTATGTATAAAACTGAAATAAGCTCCATTCAGTGGCAAAAACAAAACAAAAATTCATGTGACTTAACCAGAAGCAGATTCTGAATCATAAAAATTTAAGAGTTAGAAAAGATATTATAGTCCATTTAAGCAAAACTCTGATGTTATTTCCAGGGTTCATGGTTTCAGCCATTTTCTCTTAGATCTTGTTAACTATGTCTTTAAATATTATTTACTGAAGTGATTTAAATCATTTTAGGAAACAAAATACTTTGAGAAAGGAAATATAGTAATGTGGACAGTACAGTATTTCCATGCATGCACAGATCAAGTCTGACCTCCCTTTTTCTACACTCAGTATTCTCACACCCTTCCTATTCTCTAGTAATCACTAATCTATAACTTTTGTACATTTTAAAGCAGTTTTGCTTGTATTTTCAAAGAACCAGCTCTTTAGTTTGGTCTCTATCGTTTATTTTTGCTCTGGGTTTTTTTTTTCTTTCCTACTAATTTTGGGTTTAATTTGTTCTTGCTTTTTGAAGTCCCTGAGGAAGTTTTTTAAAATGCAAGCACTCACTACTATAAACTTATTTCTTAGTACTGGTTTTGCTATATCCCACAAGATTTGGTATGTTGTGTTTCCATTTTCATTTGTTTTGAGAGCTTTTTAAATTTCCCTTCTTGTCTTCCTTCATGGTCCTCTACTGTTCAGTCAGTAGTGTGTTGTTCAGTCTTCATGTATTTGTATAATTTCTAAAATTTCTTCAGTTGTTGACTTAGTTTTTTTTTCCATTATGATAAAAGATAGACCATATGATTTCAGTGTTTTTTGAATTTGTTAGCACTTGTTTTGTGGCCTAATATATGATTTAGTCCAGAGAAGGTTCCATGTGTTGATGTAAAAAATGTTTTGAAGGCATTGGATTGAATATTCTAACAGTATCTTCTAAGTCCATTTGATCTAGAGTATAGTTCAACTTTGATTTCTTTTTTTTCTGGATTATCTATTGATGAAAGTAGTCAAAATCCCCCCGTTTTGTTGGAGCTTGTCTATCCCATTAGGTCTGCTAGTTTGCTTTATAAAATTGAGTGTTCTGATTTCAAATGTGCATAGATTTATAATTGTTATATCTTCTAGTTGAACTGATCCCATGATCATTATGTAGTGACTTCTTTGCTTTTCATATAGTTTAAAGTCTATTTTGTCAGCTATAACTACAGCTACTCCTGCTCACCTCAGGTTTCCATTTGCTTCAAGTATTATTTTCCATCCTTGATTTTGAGTTTGTGTGTGTCTTTATTGGTAGAGTGGTGTCTCTTGCTTTTTCATCATTTGACCTACCTTTTTCATGCAGACTAACCAAGAACATAATACACGCTCAGCATTAAATGTATTTAATTATAAGAATATTCTGTCTATAATGCAAAACAGCTTTGAAATGAAAGTACAGTTGTATATTCCTCATTTCATGTGGTAGACTGACATTTTTTAATGCTATACTAAAATTCAAATATCTTCCTAGAAGTAGATTAACACTTCTTGTGTCCGTGGTATATCTCAAAATGCTGTTCCATCAGTAAAGGCTTTTATTTGCCAAGAAAATCTCAGTATTTTACATCTAGGAAGTTAGTAGGAATAGCCTCAGCACTGTTTTGGGCATGATTGTTTACAAATCACCACTTGGTAATTGTCAAATTTGGTATGGTATTTGGTATTTCCCAGAATTCTAAATGTAAAATGGTGTCTCTGTACGATCTCTAAGGTGTCTTAATTCTGGCATTCTAATATAGTCCTTTCTCTGATCACAATAAATAAAAATGGCTCTTCTTTTTTTAGGAGCCCCCACGCCCTGTGCACCCAGCACCCTTACCAGAAGCCCCCCAGCCACAGCGTCTGCCTCCAGAAGCTGCCAGCACATCTCTGCCTCAGAAGCCACACTTGAAGTTAGCACGAGTTCAGAGTCAGAATGGCATTGTACTGTCATGGAGTGTTCTGGAGGTGGATCGAAGCTGTGCTGCTGTTGATAGTTATCACCTCTATGCCTACCACGAGGAGCCCAGTGCCACCGTGCCCTCACAGTGGAAGAAGATTGGGGAAGTGAAGGCACTCCCCTTGCCCATGGCATGCACTCTTACCCAGTTTGTGTCTGGCAGCAAGTACTACTTTGCAGTGCGAGCCAAGGATATTTATGGACGTTTTGGACCTTTCTGTGATCCTCAGTCAACTGATGTGATCTCTTCTTCCCAGAGCAGTTAAACCTTGGAGCCTTTCTCTTCTCCTGTTTCAGAAGTTCCACTTTTTGGTCTTGTTTTTAATCTTGTGCATGATACCCAGTGTAAAATCCACATTGTGCAAGATTTCTTGGACTGATGTGTGTATACACTACATTTGTTTATAAGCAGAAGTAAAATAAACTCAGCCTATAAAGCAACAATCTTTCCTGGACAATTCAAGCTTCAGGGTTTTGAAATATAAGTGTGTACCGTCTTTTAATTATGAGAGTCTGGGGAATATGTATAGGTGTTTGTATGGGTTGTTTGTTTGTTTTTTCCTATTTGTGTGTTTATTGCAATGGGATCTCCTATTTTCATTCTCAAATTTACCTCTCTTTCAGTATGAAGCGAGTAGATCAAAGAATCTGAGGTATGTAACTGGCATGATTCTGCTCATAAGGCTTCTGTAGAATCATAGTTAAGCGATATAAACTGAATCTAAACAAAACCCAAAGAAGTAAATGAAAAGCATACTGGCTAACTTAAAATAGATTAATTGGAACACAGGAAAGGATCTATTCATTTTTTTCTTTGATTTCTTCTCCTGGGTGGTTAGGTGAAAAACAATCTGCAGAACCCTTCCCCCATCCTTTCCTAATCTGGTTTTTACATTTATTTGTGCCTTAAAGATTAACTACAGAAATAAACATGGCCATATTTCCATTGTTGTTTACTCTTCCCTTTTAGCCTTTCCACCTCAATTTCTCTTTCATCTTCATCATATTTGGCACATATCCCTCAAGTAATTTTTAAACCAAGGCCTTTATATACTCCTCACCGCAAATCTCTGGTACCACTGCATTTGACTTGCCATTTTCATCTAAGTATGTAGATACTTTCAGTTTTGGTCATTACTTAACACTCCATAAAATGGACCAATCGGGACCAAGAGAAACCACACTGTGTGTGTAAGACAAGTTTCCATCAAACCTACTTTAGCGTCCATGTTGCACACTGCATTAGATTTCTAAAGCAATTCTAGTTTACAGTATCCATAATGTATTCTTTCAAAGGAAGAAAATACTAAAGATCACAAAATACATTGAGCTAATAAAAGGGGAAAGCTGGGTTTCCTTTTTATTCTCATGTTATCTTCTTGTTTTTTGGGGGGTTTTTTGGTACCGGGGATCGAACTCAGGACCATGTGCTTGCAAGGCAGGCAGCGGAACCACTGAGCTAAATCCCCGGCTCATGTTATCCTGTTTTTAATCTTTTATTTCAGTTTTGATTGTGCCAAGTTAAGCCTGATTTAGCCTTTATCTGCTTTGGATAGAATTTAAAGTATATCTGTTGGGGTCCTTTCATATAACAATTAAGTATAAAAATCTGTGTATCTCCATTCCTCTTCAAAGTAATAAATTTCAGTCATATTTTCAATATTGAATGCAAGCTATACTGGTTATCAGGTATGTATTTTCAGTGTAGATAGTTTAGGACAAGAGGGTGGTTTAAGTTTTAAAGATGAGTGTGGTTGGGAATATTGTGAAAGATATTCACAAAGTTAGTGAAATAACTTTTCAAGTTTCTTCCCTTGGTGTTTTGACTTTATATTTCTGCTTTCTCCAAATACATTATTTTTTCCTAGAATTACAGGAGGGAGCTATCCCTTTTATTAGTTTACAACTTTGATGGCTTATAATAGGAAGTATTCCAGTTGGTAAAGAAATTATCTTTAATTATCTTTTATTAGGTGTGAGGTTTGATTAATAATAGAAAATACCAACAGTTGCCAGAAGGTATAAACTCTCTAAGCCTTTCTTTTACTCTAAAAATGAGACTATAATGAGAATTAGTTTTTCATGAATGAAATTACCAACCATGTAGATACTGCCTATTCTAGGACAAATGATGATGGAAAGAACTTCCCAGTGTTATGATAATGAAAATTTCAACAGGAGAAAATTGACTTCAAGATCTGTATGTATGAACACCTGTCTATATCTGCATGTATACATGTTTTTACCTGAAGTGGTTGTAATGTTGATTATGTGATAAAGAACATTCTGGTCTACAGAGTAGAAAGCTCATATTCAGAATAGTTTATTAGCTGGTTTCTTGGTCATGTAGTAAAGATTTGCTTACTTGGTCCACAAAAGTTTCCCTTGTTGAACATTTTTATTAATATTCACTACACTAATCTTGTTTTTAAAAATTTAATTGCATTATATAATCAGATGAAGAAAGTCTAGTAGAATGAATATTTTGTATTATTTTAGCCTATATTGAGTGTTTTCTGTCAATAGGGGGAAAAAAAGGAACTCTAAAAATACATTTATTCCAGAAAATAATCACACAAAACTTTTTATTCCAGATGGTAGAAGGTACAAAGAGATTGTAATTATTTAAGAAAAAAAGTATATTATCGTTGGTCTTCTCAAATTAATCTGACATGGGTTTATGGGCAGTAGACATGTTGGATTTACTGAGAAGTGCTAGATTAGAATCTTGGGCTTTTTGGGGGGTTTAATGTTGATGAATGCTAGCTTTTTTGTTGAGTTTCTTTGGGAGAGAGAATGGAGGACTCAGACTTTTTAGTAGCATTTCACACTCCAGGGTTATCTTTTTTATTTATTTTTTTGGTAATTTCGTGGTATCTTTTTACAAAGTATTACCAATAAGCTCAATTGCCCCATTTTGGGAAAGAGTTTGCTAAATTTTTAGCCTGACAATACTTGTGTAGGTATTGCCTTATTGGAAATCATGGAAGCTTCTGATGCTTCAACCTGAAACAAAAGATGTTTATATGGCATTTAAAGGTAACAGTAACATCTGGCACTACTTTGCACTGTGTCAGAGTAACCTCTTTTTAAAATTTTGTTGTTGCTAGTAAATTTAAAATGGCATATAAAGGCGGTAACTGTTATCTTTATGAGGTAATTATATTGCTTTCTCTGGACTCACTTTTAAAATATGCAGAATGCTTTATCCGTTTAACACAGTATATGACTTTATGAGAGAAGTAGAGAGCTGCCTTGAAAAGTGCATATTTATCTAGATAGCATTTGCCTCCCAGAGAAGTGTTCGTCTCCCCTATCCTCCTTGGCCAATACTAAATACCTTGAATAAAATGACCTAAATCAAGGAGCTTAGGCTCTTCCCTAGGTGCATCTCTGCAGAACCTTCTCTTACAGCACCGGATAAGTGTTGACTTAATTTTTGTTACTTGCTCTTAGGCTTTAAATATTCTCCAAATTATTATCCAGCAGATTATCCTTAATGTTGCATGATATACCTTTATTTTTTTCCGTAAGTTTCTCAATACTGTATTAAGGTTAACAAAATAATGCCTGTGGTCTCTTCATCTCTTACTTTTATATACAGAACTGATATCTTAGCACGGTATGGTACTGCAGAGACCTTCCAAGTATTCTCCTGACTTTCCTTTTTGGACCATTTCAGTATCTGCAGTATATCATGATTATTTGTTATTGTTTTTATTGTTACTGACCTGTGATTGGCCTGTTTTACTCTAATTTTCACAAAAACTATGTCTTAGTTATTCAATTATTGCAAATAACTATCTAAAACCAATATATGATTCTGCCTTCCTTGTTTGTGGACAGATTTTTCATTTGCTTTTGGGTTTTTAGGTACACAGCAATTTTTATGAAAGGTTAGTATGGCAGACTTATCTAATTCCTGAAACTTCTCTCTTGGGTCCCCAAAAGAAGAAATATAATAGTACAAACACGTTTTGTATTCTCATCTTCAAATAATTTTATCACATTTAAATAAGCTTTTCTTTGTTTTTTTGTTTGTAGAGTCAATTAATTACTTATCATTTATGTGTAAATACTTTTTTTTCCCTTGTAAATAAGGTAACTGGGCAATCAAACAGCTTTGGGTATGTTGATTTTAGTATTTTATCAGCAGTTTCAAACTAAATATAAATATAAATTCTTTGTAGGAAACTTGCATCCTGATTTTTTTGTTTATTGCAGTTGAAAGTGTAAATAATAAGACAATTTAATGTCTGATATTAATTGGGCTGTAGCAAGTTGCCCTGTTTTTGTTAGGTTTTGAAGGTTTTTGTTTCCCTCTCTGCCTCCCTCCCTCCTTCCCTCTTTCCCTTCTTTCATGTACAGTAGAGTGGTATCTATGTAAGTGTTAACTGTAGTGGGGTTGGTCCAGTAAGCCTAAGATTTATACTTTGAAATAAATGAATGGGTTTTTAACATTCTGAGTACTCTGATTTATTCTGATTTTTCTCAACCATTATATTTTTTCTTTTTAAAATCTTCCACATTGCTTGGAATCATCCATTGTATAGTATTATATATTTTGGTTTATGTAACCTATTTGGCACTCCAACCATATATAATTCTCTAGTTTTGAAAGAAAAGTTGCTATGCAGAATTTCTGCGCCATTGGACATGGTGCTTTTAACTAATGGAAGACAACAGTAAGACTGATTATATTGTATGTCTAGGCTGTACCACAAAGACTCAACTGATGCTTTCCTGTTGATGACCAGAAAAATCACAAACTGCATTCTCTTAGAGGTTGCTTAGAAAGCACAGCTCCACAATCCCCTAGTGCTTTCTTATAAAGCATAGGTAGCCAGAGGAAGGAGAAAAACGACACAAAGAATACAGGTTCTTAGAGACCTTGAAGTAGTATTCATCTCCAATACCATTGGTGAGAACTCAGTGGCATGCAAAGCTACCTAAGAGATCCTGGGAGATATAGTCTTTGTCTGCATTCATAAAAAGAATAATGGATTTGGGTAAATGAGAGAATGGTTCCTGGTATACCCCTCTGTATATTAGCTTGTATGCTGAAGCCTAGTATTGTTATGTATCATACATAATATTTGTCCTGCAGAAAAGATAGTGAATGCAGATAAAAATGAGGAAATGAAAGCGATAAACAACTTATTTTCTTAATTCTGATGGAAAAAAAATAGCTACAATATATAAATGTCTTGTATCTGCTTTACAGCCATTTGTATTCCTTTGTCTCCATCCTTCATTTTATATTAAGTTTCAAAATTGGTTTCATGGTAATAAAATCAAAGTCATAGACCTCTGGCATGCCTTGATGCAGAGTTTTGTTGAAACTGCTCCAGTGAAAAACAGGAAGACCACCTTGGACTGTGGGACCACTAATGGCATGGGCTGTGTACTTCGATGCCAGATAGATATCTGCCACCTGTAAAGAGAGAGGAGGGGTGCATTTTAGAAAACCATTTGGAAAACTCAATTAAGTGCATGATCTTTAATGTCCTGTTACCCCAGTATTTCACAGTATTAGCTTCCTATAAAACAAAATTTTCCTGCAAGCTTCCTCATGCCTTTCCATTATATGCTCTTCTGTATCCATTTGGCATTCAAATGTCCATTGACTATTAGAGATGTATTAACGTGTCACCAGCTGTGAGAGCTGTAGTCTGATAACTCATACAGAATTATGAATTCCAGCTCCAAAACTTACTTAAATATCACTTAACCCCTCTGTGATTCAGTTTTCTGGAATTGACAATGTGACATTGGAATTGCTATGAGAATTAAGGAAAGCAGTGCTTAGAGCAGTTCCTAGAATATAATCCTCCTCACAAAAGTTACCAGTGTGGTAACGAGTTTTAAAGTAGGAGGAGCTTGGTACCAAAAAGTGAGGTCCATGGTTCTCAAAAGCAACTTTAGAGAAGAAAGAAAATCTTTTAATCAAAATGGCTGTAAAGAGAGAAACTATATTTTTAACATATATCCTTCAACAGAATTTGATTTGACAGGTGAAGTTGGGTTCTCCCAGGCAAGGCAGCAGAGGTGTATTCTGGGTTGAATGTAGCATTTTTTTCAGGCACTTTGTTGAATGCAAATATGAAAAAGAAGGAAATACCAAAACATGTTTATGGGGCTTTATGAGTGCTGGGTTCTCTACAACCACTTTAAAAAAAATTAAATGCAACACTTTGAGCATCATTTAGAGTAAAACTTTGCCATCCTCACATAGCTGAAAAGGTCATGCTCTAAAGCGTCTCCTAATTAGGTATTGGATTGATAGATAATAAAAGTGTAGGTGGTGCTGGCAGTGCTATCATTTTCTGAGCTAAAGTATAGTTTACTTTGTGGTCTGGGGATTTAGCCCAGTGCCACTGCGCCTGCCTTGGCAAGCGCAAGGTCCTGAGTCCGAGCCCCAGTTCCACAAAAAAGAATAAATAAAAAGAATAGTTTATTTTGTAAGTTTCTTTCAGAATTTAGGACATAAAAATCATAAGGCACGTGCCCAAGCCAAAAGTGCAAAAGGATGTGATAAAATGATTCTGCCAACCACTGGCTAACTTTGACACCCTAAATCCAGTGGGATGCAGGTAAATTTATCAACCAATTCTCTGATGAAAAAAGAGGCCCTGATTTGTAGTGTTTGCTGATTTCCATGGTGTAAATCCTCCCACTATGGCTGTTTTTAAGCTATCAGCACAATGTCAACTAACTTTCACAGTCCGTATGAGCCAACTTTAGCGCACCACAGCAAACCCATTGTTACACATGATAAGGAGACATATTATAGCACTTATCAGTTCTAATGTGAGAAACCTTAGTGCTTTGGGCGCCTGGTCCAATACTTGTTTCTACAGCTAAATTTGAAGCCATGATTACTTGAAATCACATGGTTCTCAGTAATGTCCTTTGAATTTTGGCAAAATTTATCATCACAGTCATAATACATTTACACATAAGTACTATTCTAGACATACATATAGATACTAAGGTTTATTATCCCTCGCTCTGTGAGGTCAGTACTATTTCCATCTACAGATGAGGAAATGGAAACATTACAAAAGTACAGGATTTACTAGTAAGTGGAAGATAGGAAAAGCTGATTTTTGAAATAGTTTGTAGTTAGGGACATCTTTGTTACTTATGCTAAGAAAATATCAGTAGCTGTTTTTTTCTTTTGTTTTGTTTTTACCTAATTGCTGATTGGAATTAAATTCAAAAGCCAGTAGCCTGGCATGGTAGGGCACACCTGTAATCCCAGCACTCCAGTGGCCGAGGCAGGAGTATCACGAGTTCAAGTGCAGCCTGGACTATGTAGTGAAACTCTGTCTTTAAAAAAAATGGAAAAGGAATCACTTAGTAGCATGTTACCTTTGTGTCATAACAGCCTCCAGGACTTGGGTTAGCTGAGTTCAGGTCCTCACGGCAGCAGATGGTACTGCAGGGATCACCCTTACTGTACCGGTCCTCCTTATAATCTAGGAAACAGTGATGGGGAAAAAGAATGAGTATTGGCTATTGTGAAATTTACTTAGCTGCAGTAAGATTTTGGAGTCTGTTAACAGCCTAGAAGAGTACACCCCTATGGTCCTCATCAGCCTAGCTTGCTTCCAGCTCGTATTAGGGAGGAGCAGCTAACTAAATCCTCTACCCAAAGCCCAGCCTATTTCAAGAACCTTGCACAGTGAAGAGTGGATGGAAAAGAGCAGGTAAATCTGCATCATTTTTTCCAATAGTATCAATTTGACTTTAATACTATTTATTAAAAATAAAGCATTTATGAATTTTTGGTTTTATAAATTGCTTTTGTTCTTGGGAGAAAACTTGTGTGGGTGTTGGGTGGGTGGGATGAGGACTGCATGGGTTATTCTCTATGTTTTACATGTAATATTTTCATTTTAAAAATCTTTATAAAGAGATTCTGTAAAATATAAAGGAAGTTAATGTGTTGAGTATAAGGTATGTATTGCATTAATTGAACACTAAATATTTAATTCAAATAACTTCTATAATTCCCTCTAGTACAGAGATTAACTTACATGGATTCTTTATCCATGGGGAAGAAAAGGAATTTTGAACAATGGTTCTTGAGAAATGTGCTACGTACTGTTGTATCGCATGATATATTTCATGGATGCCATATCAGTCACTTTTCCTTGGTCACGCCGGAAGATTTTGGCTCGTGGAGCTAAATCATAAGAGTAATCCAAACCCAGCTTCTGAACTAATAGCTGGTAGCCACTCCAATTGTAGACTTTTTCATGGAAAGGAACATTATAGGAAGGCCAGTATCCTGATTTGGAATGGAAGAGAAGAAAGAGATTGACAAGGAAGAAAACCAATGATGGAGCAAAAGAAACTATTAGTAATTTAGTTTGAAAATTGTCATGTGTGTAGTCACAAAATAAAACCTCACAGGAAATGAAGAAATGTGAATCCCAGCAGCCAAACTGATAGTTTCCAGAATTGGTTTACCTCTAAATTTGTTTTTGTTAGAGGAAGAAAAGCATTGGAATTCTTTGGTTTTCACCCCAAATTCTTACAGCAATCTATAAACCACAAAATAACTTTATTCTCTGAAGAGCAAAAAGTATAGCACAAAATGACCTGGGGAGCTCATCTAAGTGGATTTACTTACTGAATTGTCAAAAGATGGTTCATAAAGGGTAGGACATTATATACCAACCACAGGATGGTAGAACACCATGTTGAGAACTAGAAAACCTAAATTCTAGGTTCAGGATCAATAATTAAGTTTTAAGGAGTTGAGCTTGTTTTGATTTTATTTTTTGTTGACAGGATAGATGGGAAGGGAGACGCCCTAATGTGAAGATATTGGGATGATCTTTAATGTTCTAGCAGATTTTTAACTGCAAACATCTGTAAAGGCTCTGCTTCATCTAAAGCTTCAGAGTTTGCCAAGCCCACAGTCACTAACCACAAAACATGTGACACAAATCTAGTAAAAGCAGCATTTTAGTTTTTTTGTTTGGCTTGGGTTTTTGTTGTCATTGTGTATGTTTGTCTGTGAAATAGGGTCTTAGGCTGGCCTTGAACTCAGGATGTAGCCCAGGCCGGCCTCAAACTCATAGCAGTCCTTTGCCTCAGGCGTCTGAGTGCTGGGCATGTGCCACCATGCCTGGCTCAAAAGCAGCATTTTAGGAACACTAGATTGTACTGGTCTGAGTTATTGCTGACAGAAACACCAGTCAAAATAGTGTGTGCATCACTCAGGGAGTAAATTCCTACCTTTATATTTCATTGGGCCTTGATTGGCTTTTTATTGTTGTATGGGATCTCCTTAGTTAGGAAATTATTGGGACAAAGGGAATGACACACTTTCAACTTTTCTAATTCTGGAATATAGAGCCAGCATCAGGGAGTACTAAAACTGCATAGTGAACGTATTGAGGTTGTATCGACTTGGAAGTTAAACCACCTGGATTTGAAGCCTGATTCTGCCATCATTAGGTATGTGACTTTTAACAAATTATCCCTCTGTGCCTCAGTACCTTCATCTTTAAGGTACAGTAAGATGCCTTATAAGTTACATAATCATTACCTTCTAAGGATTGTTGTGAGCATTAAATGAGTTCAAACAGGTGGACTATTTATGATAGTGTCTAGTACTTGGTAAACATTAAATAAATATTAACTATTTGTATGAGAACAGCTCAAAAGAACAAAACAATGGCTGCTTTACATGTTATATTTTCATGATTTACAAAAGCATTTAAAATATAGCAACTTTTTAATCTCACAACACGATGATATGTAACCATTACAGTCCCTCCTTATAAGGAAGAAACAGGTTCATACAGTTCAAATGCCTTCCTTAGCTTCCAAAACTTGAAAAAGCACTTCGAATTAAAAACACCAGAGCTTCTATCACTATATGACAGATGCTTATAAATGCTAGGTGATCTTGGGTGACTAAAATGTCTACATAACATGACTTACTTATTTGGGCACATCACATGTATTGTTCTGAATCTTTCCTCCTAGTGAAATGGTAAGAGTAATATTTATCTGGTAGTACGTTATAAAGATCAAACAAGAAAACACAAGTAAAAGGCCCAATAGAGTCAAGAATATGGAAGATAGTGAATTTAACTTTGTTTTTCCCTCCTCTGGCAAAATATACAACAGTACACACACACACACACAAGGTATCAGCTCTTTTTAGTCTGAGGGAAATTTCATTGGCTAGAAATGGGATTGCAAAGAACCTAAATCCACCATTCTATCAGCAACAGTCCAAAGGAGAAATTCTGCTTCTAGCAAGCATCTCTTAAGGACACTATTATTATTAGGCTCTTAGCTACTTATCTATCAGCTCATCTACTGCAATAGTCTCCTAATTATTCTCCTTTTTTCCCTCCCTTCACTCTACTTTCTCTTGTCAAAAATTCTCATTTTTTAAAGAACAAAAACTAACCTCCAGAACAAGGTTTATTATGTTGACACTTTTTCTCGCTACTACCTATCTCTGTTGATTTGTGACTCAGTCACTTTTCTGGTTGCTAAGATAAAATACCCAACACCCAAAGTTAAAGGAGGAAAAGTTTATTTTAGCTCATGGTATGTAGAGTTTCAGTCCATAGTTGGCTGGCTCCAAGGCAGGATGGCATGGCAGAGGGGCATTGCAAAGGAGAAACAGTTCATGGCAGACAGAAGACAGGCAAAGCAGCAAGCAAGTGACCATCAGCAAAAGACAAGACCACAGCTTTTTCTGACCCTTACATCTTACCCAGGCCATCTGCACTTAGGGCAGGTAGCACTCACACCCTTAATCCTAGCATTGCATAGTGAATCCATCCCAGCATCATCCTTGACCCCAGAAGCACAACCCCCAGATCCACCCCTACCTATGACTGCATGAAGTCTGAAAAGCCCCATCTATGACTACATGAAGCTTTGGGGGCCATCTAGACACAAGCTGTAACAGTGACCCTCCTATAAAACTGTAAAGATCCACTTTCCCAGATCCAAAAATCCCTGTGGACCAAAGAGTTTCAGAATTTAGGGATTTTTATATTTTAATAATAGCAATGGAGTGCATACATTATAATATAATATGTACTCTGTGGGGAATCATACCTTTTAATCAAAGATTGATATTTTGGGACCCTAATGTGTGAATTGTATTATTTAAGAGGGAAGAAATAAAAGGTCTGAATTCATATGGGGCCATTTTTTGGCAATTTTTGCTGATAAGTGAGCTTAGGTCATATTTTGTGACCAAGTGATTTAGAACTAAAACTTTTGGTTTTACAGTTTGGGATGTTTGTCTTTTGACAGGGTCTTGATAATTTGCTCAGACTGGCCTCAAATTTTCAATTCTCCTGCCTCAGCCTCCCAAATAGCTGGGATCACAGGCATGTGCCACTACACCCAGCTTACAGTTTTGGGTTTTCAAAATTGTAGCAGACATCCCTGTCCAGTACTAGTGGGCTGAGTGGCACCTGCTTCTTGCTTTCCATAATTTGATTGTATTATTTTCTATCAGGAGTCAGACCAAAGCCCTGTGTGACTCAATTGGGCGTGTCAGACGGCAGACTGGGCCCCTCCCCCAATGGCTGACACCCAGGCCTAAGCCCTGATCTGTGAGTGGCAGGTTACATGCAGCTGAGGTCAGTGTGACCCCCAGTTAAAATCCTTTTCCCCAAATTATGGCTTCTCACTGACCCAATGGGTTGCTTGCTAATTGCACCCAGTCCCAGTACCAGTTTGTTCTATCCAAGCAAGATAAACAGTGTCTCCTCCCTTACAGCCCTGCCTGGCACCATCATGCCAGGTGTTTGGCAGTGTTTCACAGATGCCTTCAAAGCACACCCTGCTCCCTATTCCTTCCCATGTTTGTATTCAATAAACACTGGATGTGCTTGTGGGCCTTTGTCTTTGCTGCCACCAGCAGCACAGATCAGCCCTGAGACCCAGCTTTTTCTCTAAGCTTGTTTCCTGTCTTTATTCTTTAATTAGCTTTGTGTTGTGGCTCACAGCAGACCAGGATTCCCTGCAGGGGTCTCGGGTAATGTCCCCCCCACCCCCATTCCCTACACAAAATGACAAGTGATTATGGACCTATGCCATGACTGTCCTATTTTACAGATGAAGAAAGTGAGACCTGGAGAGGTTGAATAATTTCCCTGAGTTTTTTAAGGAACTGAGATTCAAATCCAGACACTGTGATTCCAGGGCTTCATATGTCTGAGCTGTTCTCTCATTCTTCAAATCTACCCTTTCTGATCCATCCTATTAACTACCAAGTTCCTGGCATGCAGGGGTGTCCTTGCTTTTCTGAGCCAGAATAGCATTACATAAATATTTGTTGAATTAAACTTAAAGCTCTGACCAAGAACTCAGGAAAGAGGGCAATAGTAGAGACATGAGAAATTAGTGTTCCGATTTGCATATGGTCTTTAAAGCTGACCCTGGTAATTCTTTCCCAGAGTAACTAGCGATGGCACCTGTGCTTTTCTCTCCACTGTGCCCTCCCCATCATCTATTCACACATCATCTACCCCTCAGCATGCATGCTCACATGCTCATCACACTTCCAGACATGGCACGAAGAAGGTACCTTTTCGTAGAACATCAGTTTGTTCAGAATATTCTATATAAGTAGGAATTTGCTCCACAACATACAGTGTGCCTTTGTCAAGACTCTTTTTCAGTTTCACCTTCTTCAAGTCCAGAACCATGTATTGATTATTATAGGTGCCTGAAATATTGGGAGACACAAAAACAGCATGGATGTGGCTCTACAGGTTAACAATTCAAACATATGCACTTTCCTACAAGGGATTCCACAGGACGACTTACCAGAGTTGTATTTTGAAAAGATCTCTGCCCAATTCTTGCCACCATCTGCCATCATATTGGCCACACGAACTCTTTGCCAAGCCAAGAGGGACTCAGGCATCACCAGCTTCAGTAGGGTTTTATTATATACACTGTTTGTGGTCTGCAGCAATATCAAGCCACTGCTAAGAATATAAAAGTCATCCAGGGACTCCAGAAACCCTACAGGAAACACAAATACACAAATCATACATACACATGGAATACTGAGCCATCATTATTAGCACAGAGCTTCACATACACACTGCATTTTCCAAAGTATTAGTTATTATCTTCTTTGATTTGCAGTAGCATCTCCTAGCTTCAGGTCATTTGTGTGGTAGCTCCCCAACTGTTGCTTTTAGAGGTGGCAGCAACCTCCACCCTGGATCCAACACTGAAATTTTGACTTTATGATTTGGGATTAAAGAATATATCAAGTCAGGAATGTCCCAAGTTTCTAAAACAATAAACAGAAAGAGACCCTAGTATTTTGCAGAACTTTTTAATTAAGGAAGGTATGAGCAGGGTTTATTGTTGGACAGTTAAGAATATGGATAGCTTCACTTTCTTTTCTTTCTACTGGTCTCAGTTGGACAAATTTTTTATAAGTCTACATGGTTTTTATAAATGGGAACCATCTCCATGTAAAAGAGTGGACATCGTTTTAAAACTAGGACCTTTTTCCTGGACCAAATGTTGGAAGCAAAAGAGGAAAATCAGTGGAGACATAGTCTTCTGTTAGGCCTGTTTTGTGGCTTATGCTGGGATGAATGTGGAGGAGATACATCTATAACAAGAAAAGAGGATGTACTGTCATTAGTAAGTAACAGTAATGGACAAATAGTTATAGAAATGACAGGAAAGGCCCCTGGTGAGAGAGAAGGCGCCACAGTGATAAATTCCTCTGGCGCATCCTCTTTAGGAAAGAGGCCCAAGGGAGCCAGCCAGCCCTTTCCATCGTGTGAGGATAAAGCAGATGGTGCTGTCCATTGGAAAGGGTCTTCACCAAGCACACAATGGATGGGCACCTTGGGTCTTGGTCTTCACAGCCTCCATAACTGTGAGTGGTAAATATTTATTATTTATAAATTACCCAGTTTAAGGTGTTATATCAGAATAGACTGAAATAGTCCCATACCTCTACCATATAACACTTTGATCATTTTGCCATATCTGAATACTATCTAAACTGTTTAATATTTTTCTTTACTTTTTAATCAGAAAGTAAAAGTTGTATATATTTATCATATACAGCATAATATGTTAATATATACATTATGAATGGCTAAATCAAGCTCTGTAACATATGTATTACAGTTAACATAAGTCTCTTTTCAAACTTGAAATATTTAGCCTTGCCATATACATCAGTGTGTAAGGAACCATGAATTTAATGTTTTTATTTTCTCCCCAAATAAAACACATTGAAACAAATACATTTCTACTAATGTACAAAAATATTTGTTCATGAACCACCGAATCATCTCACTAGCACTATGCATGCTATTGTCCACCTACTCTACAGCTGGAATGGAAAGGGGTCACCTTGAGCTAAAAATTTTGGACCATGGATTGGGAATGAGAAGGCCTACACCCCTACACTGCTCTATAAAATTTGGCAATTCTCATTCTGCTTCTCTATTCCTACTTTCTTTCTCTGGTAACCTGGGATTAAGCCATGTCATTACGCTTTAGCAATCTAAGTTTAATTTCTGGAAATCTCTGAGTACGAAAGTTATGCGATGAGAGGAGTGTCCATCTAACTTCAAGAGCTTCTCTATAAGGATAATGTTAGGCTCTGCAGAGGTCTGTGTTAACTACAGACAGTTGTAATCTCCAGGTGGTACAAGGCTTGCTGGCATCTTTGAATGAAATTTTAATGAGTAACATCTCTGGGAAGTCACAGCCTGGACACAGGCTATACAGTTCGATGAAGTGTAGGACAGTTTTCAACAACCACTTATTTCTTGGGCTGGTGCTCTTTTGCAGTGCTCAAACTGTACAACCACATTTGGTAGCCTTGAGCAAGTTTTCTGGTAGAAAATCCCCTTAGGGTAGAACGCTGCACTTCTGGCACAGTAAATTTGCTCACTCCTTACTGTAGCAGCCTCTCTGGACACAAGAGGGCAGGCATTCGTTAGCATGTGAAAGTAAATGACTAACACTAATGTTTAAGGAGTAGACTCTCATTTTAGAGCAAGATTTTTTATTAGACTGGAGGATGGAAAAAATATAAGTTGTTCAGAGTTATGGAACAAAAAACACTAATTTGTCTGCAAAAACTACATTTGAGACTAATTCTACATTTTAGAGTTTAAGAAAATAAAGAAAAGGCCTACAAAGGGAACAAAGACCTGACATATTACCCTATAAGAGAAGCAGAAGTTCCTTAACTATGTAAAAGCATGTTCTTGCTTTCGTCTTCCCTTAGCAGCTTTGGAAGGCAAACTATTTGAGATCAGGAGAAAGTGAAGCACTCCAGTGTTTTATGAAGGCTGGCATGCAAATCATTTGTCATGGTAATCTTTTTTGCTGAATTTAACTGAAAACTAAAAGGTAATCCTTTTAGTTAATGAAGCACGTTTTAAAACTCATAAAAGTAAAGAGTAACCACTATCCCCAGATACCATTTAGACTTATTGCTTACTACAACCCAGAAAAGTCTACCCCAATCACTCTATTAAGTACATTTATAACATGCCCGTCAGCATACTATAGGCATCAGCACCTCCAAAGCACAGAGGTGCGGTTCAAACATACCCCTTCCTTCTAGAACAGTGGACTCAGTGTTGACCAAAGACATAAATAACTACAGCACCTCCCTCTGATCTTTGGTTTTATTTCCTGAGTTTTGGTTACCTGTGGTCAACTGTAGTCTGAAAACATTGAGAAATTCAAAGAATAAGCAATTAGTAATTTTACAATGGTGTATTGTTATAATTTTAAAATTTGTATTAGTTACTAGTATCCTACTGTGCCTAATTTATAAATTAAGCTTAGTTGCAGTTATATTTGATAATAAAAAACTGAATGCATGTAGGGTTCAGTACTATGTATTTCTTCGGCATCCACTGGGGTTTGGGAATGTCCCCTGCATGGATAAGGGAGGATTACTGCTCCGTTCAGGGTCTGTTTCAGGGTCGTGATTGTGAAGGTAGCTGTGCTGCTTCTCTTCATCTCTCCTCTCTCCATATTCTCTGCAACGTGACTCTGCAGCATTTACCATCGAAAAGGTTTTAGTTCCATGCCTCAAATCCAGGCTGCATTTGGAACTTGCTGCAGCTATAGAATCTGCCGGTTCTGAGTGGAGGCCTCAAGAGACCTGCACAGGTCTGCTTACTGCCTGGTAAAGCAAGCTCACTCTAGCCTGACTGCTAAGATGTAAACCATGTGAGGAAGGACCATTCACCTCAGCCAACCCCACAGTGCTAGAGAGTTTGTCCAGCAGTGCTGCCTTCCAACCCACAGAAAAACTAGATGCATGAATACACTCACTCTGAGGTCCAGCAAGAACCACTTAGCTGACCTGTGGTCTCAAAATGAAGAACAATCACACACTGCATTCAGCCTGTTTTGGGTGTGATTTTTTTTTATGGAGCCATACCTAACTGATACAGTGATAGTAATTAAATTATACAATACATTTTGCTTTGAATTGCCTTGCTGCCTTTTGATTTTACCAGAGATGGATGTGATATTTTGGAAACTCTTACTTTCTTAAAAAAAAAAAAGTGATGACTTTACATCATACTCAGCCTTTCTGCTCAACTTACTCCCTCTGCTGAGGATGGGCAGTATCAGTTCTCAGAACTGTAGAAAGCACCACCCTGCCCTCAGCTGTCTGATTTCTTTAAGCCGGTCTGACAGTCACCAAACACCACATAGTGGTTCCTAGCGAAGACTCTGTATCACAATTCCCTGAGGAGCTTTTTCCAACAGCTCATGCTGGGCACGCATCCTCACCTCCCTCTGCTCCCCCCCGCAACCCCATCTCCATCACAACCCCTGCTCTGAGGTCATGTCTGCAACCAGAAAATACCCTGCTTACTCCTAGCCACCCCAGCATACAAAGTCCTACAGCCCTTTATTTGGCCTGCTCCACAGTGGCCTTGGCCTTCCCACCTTACCTCATGGCAATTAACTGCTTCCCTGCCTGAAAAGGTCCTAACTGATAAAAATCCATTTCTGCTTCTCCTTCCAGTGATTATTCTTCAATCAAGTAAATAATTACTGAGCACATTTCTACCTAGTCCTGAGTAGAAATGTGGTCAATGAAGGATTTGGCTGCTGCATGTTCAAGCCCTTACTGTGAAGCCAAACTATCCCATAGTGTCCACATAAAGGAATTAGTAATTCTCTTTAAGGTTTCATATACAAGCAAAATGTAAATATAAAGAAGGTAAGGTTGTATTTAATCAAAATTTGGAATTATCATCTACATCAAAATGAAATGTGTTTTTAGTCAAAAGTAAATTATCTTAATTTAAATTATATGATGTATTTCCTTTTTCCCTTTCTATATGCCCCAAAGCAGGTGAGCTCCATTAGGGAAGGTACTTTTTCTCTCTTGTTAACTGGTGTTTATTCAACACCAAGTAAGGGTTTGATCCACAGCAAGGGTTCAATAAATAATTGTGAAATCTAAGGGAAAAAAGAAGACAACAGTAACTAATGTTCATTGTGCATCTCCTATGTATGAGATACCTTGCTTAGAAGAGCAGATGCTATCGTTTGATCTTCACAAGAAGTGCTTAAATGAGCTATTCAAATTATTTAAAGCCAATAAACGTTGTGTCAGGAAAAAGTACGATTCTGAACACATGCCTTTTCCACTTTGCACAAACCTGAAGGATGTGCTGGGAATAAATACATAGTCACGCAAATGGTGACATTGCTTATTCAACACACATAATGAGATGAGTACATTTGAAACAATTAAGAACAGTGAATCAAGAGGAGTTGCATGTTTAGAAAGGGTGGAGTTGGGAGAACCACCTTATAACCAGTTAATCAAAAACGTATGAAAAGTAAGGTTGAGATTTCTGTAAGAACAGAGGGGAGGAAGCACCTTGAGCTAGGTGGTGAAAGATGATTAAGACAGATGTGACCTGGCAGAAGGCATCAGTGTCCTGGTTTGGTGAAAGGGGAGGTTAAAAACAAAACAAAACAGAAGTACTTAA